AAGATGCAAGCCACTCGTGCTTGCGAAACGTCAGGAAGAAATTCTACCGAACGACGGCCTAAAAACCCGAAAAACCCATTAGTTTCAAAAAATGGCCTTGAAAGTCTATCTCTTTTGATTTTCGAAAAGACGATTCGAAGTCGCTTTTAGGCAAGACAAACTGTAACTCGCAACTTAAACACTGTTGGGGCAGTTTGGCGACGGCCGTCTCAATCGCAAGGCACTCCCCTATAGCTGTCCTTGTCAGTGCACTTGAACGGTGCAATAAACAGAGCGCAGAATGTTTGGCGCTCCCTCTGCGTTACTTACAGTACAAACTATGCCTGTTCTTGTCTGTCACATTGCATTTACGCGCAACAGTTTGGAAAGGACAATGACAAACTGCCCCAGATTATTCAAGTTTTTAAGTTCTTTGAAATATCGGTGTGTATACGTACGGTGGATTTTAATTAAACTCGCTGCGCATTTTTTCCTTTGGAGCGCTACTGTAAGCGTTCAAGCACTTTCTTAAAGGTTCTACATGAAAAGGCATCAGGATCTTTGTGTGTGTGTGTGTACAAATTGTTGATGTTTTTTTTTGTTGGGAAACAAATGCCAAACCAAATTGTGCCTACAAAATTCGGCAAACTATATTTTCCAAGACGTCTTTGGGTTGAAATTGCGGGTAGTCAAATCTTTAGGATTTTGCTCGATTTGAACATTTTCTTTTACTTAAAACTTCTGCTCGTAATCGGTAAAATTGGATCAGAATGTTGCAGAATCTGAGCTGTAGGAAACAAGACCTGAAAAGTTCAAAATTATAGAACAATTTGTTATCGCAAACTTAAGCAAAGAGTCTCAAATGCTCCTGATCTAAAAAATAGCATAAAACGAGGCAGGGACCAGCTCCTGTCTATCTGCAAGATATGTAAAAACAGCCTGCAATTGCAAGATTTGCGAATGTCTATGATTGGAGTCGCAAATTGGAGTAGAAATGTGCAAACTGCGCGTGCAGAAATTCGGATTTTGTTGCTAAGAGTTGCCTTTTTTCACAAAAACCTTTCTGCAAGCTGCAGATCGCAGTGGCTTCAATAGTTAAAAATTCTTCGACTTCATATTGTTGAAACCTCAGCTCCTGGGGCAAAACAAATCCAATCAATTGCTCTGCAGTCTGCGCTAAGCAGTAAACTACCAGGCCCTCAATCCCCCAACTCACCGAAACCGAGCGCAAATTAGCAAATCTATTTCAATAATCCAACACGACACGTCTCATCACTATTATGATTGCTTTGCTGTGCCAATTTTCCTTAAGCTTCTTAGCCGCGACGGATGAACTTAAGCCCCGAAAAGGTCAAGAGATTTGGCCGAGTGGTTTAAGCTGAAAGGTGAACGCAAATTTCGGGCTCTGATTACCTCGACTATACCTACTTTGGAAGAGCCTAATCTCCAAAAGGAGTTTTGCTAATGTTCCAGGGACTACCATCAATGGGAGCGAGAGCATGACGCAGCTGGTGTCTGGACGCACCACGCCATTGATAGCGTCGCACGAGATTCTGGAGCAGGAAATCAAGCGCCTGCGGGAGCGACTGCAGACCGTGGAATCGGAAAACGCAGCCATGAGTGTGAAGCTGAGTCAGCAACAGTGGGAATTGGAGAACAGGTTTGACCCAAATCAAGTGTGATTCAAAATTGCCCATTTCCAGCTTTTAAACAGCGTAGGAAAATCAGTTATGCAGCCAGCAGCTGCAGATCTTGAGCTGACAACTATCGCTATTCTTTATTCAAGTGAAAATTGCTGTAAAAAGCCATTTTTGAATCACCCATTATATATTTGCGAGCTTTTAGGGCACAAGCAAACCGTTTCAGATTGGCGGAAATTGAGATGCAAATTTGCGGGTCCAGATCGACGAGCTCCCTGGAACAAGACGAGCTGGACAGGAACCGGGAAAGCATCATTTAACGGCTGGACGCGCTGCCTCACGCATGGCACACGCACCCTTCTTCTCTCATGGTGCAGTTCGTTGCGTGACGGCTGAAGCGCGAACCCCCCAGCTCAACATCTTCCAACTGCCCCGAAAACACTCTGATCAACATTTAAGCTGTAACAGTCGATGTGTTTTAATCTGCTTCCTCGCCTGCTTCTATAATCTTTTGCGTCTTCTTGGTCAAGAAGGATGATGTTAAATTGCTGTCTACTTCTGTCTTTGCCCAACATGCACCTACTAATGCTCAATAATTGACCATCAGCTGCATTGATTACAAGTCGAGTGTCGTAAGGAGTTCTATATGGAAACGTTTCAAGTTCACTTACTTATTTTTTTACAAACTTCTTTTTCGGTATTTCGCCTCAAAAATTTTTGTCTTCAAAAAAGACAGAATTTCCTCACGTCTTTTATTACAGATTGATAAATAGTGCGCCTATTTCGCAATAAGAAATTTATAATTAAAAGTTTAATATTAGGACTATCTTCAAAACTGAAAATACAATTAGAAGTAAAATTTCAGTAACAAAACCTCAGGATATAATTGAAAATACACAAAATGTAATTTATAAAATTCCTTGCGAATGCAATAAATTTTATATAGGAGAAACCTCAAGACCATTACACAAAAGACTCAAAGAACACCAATCATACATAAAAAACAGAGAATATCATAAATCACACATTTGTCAACATGCATTTGATAATTGCCATAAAATTCAATGGAATAATTCCACAATTTTATCAAAAGAACAATCCACAAAAAAACGTAAAATTAAAGAAAGCGCACTAATGAAACATGCACCCAAATTAAATTTAAACCAATATTATTAATTAACAAAACCTTTATTAATTTAAACAATGAGATTAAGTGAAAGTCACATAACTGACAATTTGCACAGGCGAATGATCAGAGCGAATTTTCATATACTGTATTATCCTACTATTGTTTCACAATTTATTAACATACTCTTTTTTAGGTTCATTTAGGTTCTTTTGATAACGATAGCAGAAAATA